TCCAGCTGTTGGAACATCTCCAGAAATTTTCTTACTGAGTATGGAGAGTGTTTGTTCTCAGGATGTTTCAGGATCCGGCAGTGTGCGTCTGCAGTGGGAGCTGGTAGGGACCGAGGACGAGTCAGTGGCAGATTTAGCCATGACTGATGTGTTGGAGCTTGGGAGAGCTTCAACGGGCCTTTCAGTTGTCTGATGAGAGGGCCGCTGCAACAGGAGAGCTGAGGAAGATTACTCGATGTACAAGCAATCGCGGCGGATGGCAGTTGATGACTATCAAGCCTCCAAGTGGGAGAATGTTGGGTTTGTGGAGGCTTGGGCTTGACTTGTTGGCCCGGCCCGTTTGTTGTAACCCTAGTTGCGCTCTTCCTATATATATTGCATACTTGTACTTGTAATCGGCACCACAAGTGAAATAAGAAATTCCTCCTGTTGCAGCCGTGGATTAGGGAAACCGAACCACGTTAAATTCTTGTGTGACGTCCGTGTTCCGTTCTCTCTTGATTCTCGCAGATATTTGTGTGTGTTGTGTGTTTAATTCCCCCAACACATCCGGCCCTAGCTAGGAGTGACCAAAGTGTTGTACTACACAAATCACCGAATCTTGTTTCTCCTATTGATTTTGTAGTTATAAATTATTCCCTTCGTTAATTTATTAGTTCTTTTCCTCGTTTTCATGAGTCTTGAATTAATTATTCTTTTTTTTATATAAATATTCAATATAGAAATTTTGACGGGTTGTTTAAGATATTCTAAAGATGAAGCAAGAGCATTTTTGTCAATAATGAGTGATTACCACATTTGAAGTACTGTCACTAGATGTGTCCTCTCCATGAATCTACTTACTGTGAATAGAGATATCAAGAGTAGGTATATGAGTAGTTGTGAGAGGTACATTAGATGGAAAATTAGTGATAGCGTTATAATCATAATCTTCATTTGAAAACAAAGGGAGAGGTAAGCAAAAAGTGGTTTGCTTGTGTCTAGACTCTGGTGTATCTCTTTTGTCAAAGGGAAAGATGTCCTCTTGAAAGACTACATCTCTGCTGTGAAATATTTTCTTGGCTTGTATATCATATAGCTGGTATCCCTTATGTTCAAAAGGGTAGCCAAGAAGAACCCACTTTATTCCTTTATCATCAAACTTGTCTTTTGTGTGGAGATTCACAACATAAGATTGGCAGTCCACCACTCTTAAATCAGCATAAGATGCTTCCTTGTTATACAACATCTCAAAAGGAGTCTTTGAGTGTAATATTTCCATAGGGAGTTTGTTTATGATATGTGTCGCAGCTTGGACACGTTCTCCCAATTTTTTTAGGAAAATGGGCATGAATGGTGATGGCTCTTGCTGTATCCATCTAATGGTTATGTTTTCTATCCACTATCCCATTTTGTGGAGGAGTTCTGACCATATATCTTCGGTTTATGATTACCTTGTTCCCAAAAATTTCAGAATAAGTGGAATTAATAAACTATGTTCCATTGTCTAATCTAATACATTGAACCCTTTTCTAAAATTGTGTTTCCACCATTGTTAGAAAGTTAGATAAAATTCTTTTAACTTGTTTTTTTTCTTGTACCAGTTGTGTCCAAGTACTTCTAGTCCAATCCATCATAATAGTCAAGAAAAGTATTGCCCCTGTAATATTTGGCATTCTGTATGGCCCCCACAAATCAACATGCACAATTTGAAAAGATACCGAAGTAAAGGACATGCTTTTGGGAAAAGGAAAGTCTATTGAATTTTGCAAGCATACAAGTATCACAATGAAACTGCTAAAAAGTACAAGTGCTACACTCATAAATGTGCTTTGTTTTGGACCAAGAACTGTGTCTTAGTCTAACACTTAATAGATCAAAGTTGCAAGATGTATCAGTCATTCCATGTACTTTACTTTATTTTTTGTTCTACCCTCAACTTGTTAGGGCCATAACACTGCATTGATGTGCCGAGTATCAATCAGTTACTCATTGAGATTAGATTAAACTAAAATCATTCACACATAGAATATTTAACAACATCAAGTCTTGGAGATAAGATCACATTCCCTGCCTTGGTTAATATTTTGTGAGTGCCATCACGTAAAGTTGTAGTTATAGGAGTTTGTAAGGTATGTAAGGCACATAGCATATTTTCAAAAGGAGTTATATGACCAGATGATCCAGTACCAACTATTCAATCAGCAACATTAGCACTATCTACATAATGGGCTTCGAGAGTGTAAAATAATTGATGCCATGGACCTATGTTTACCTGCAAGGTGAGCATAGGCATTTAGGGGGCTAGATTCTGAAGAATTTGAAGCTTTATCCATCACCGGTTTCATCATTTCCAGAGCAACATGTTATTGTAAGGAAGCTAGCCATTTTAAGGAAAAATGTTTCAACATGTTTTGTGTATATATCCACACCTTCATTGCTAGTAGATGCTGCTGTTAGTTCCATGGTGTTGGCTAATCTTTTGGCAAAATAGAATCCCATATTTGTTAGGTGTTTTACTAGGTAAAAACCTCTATTTGTTAGGAGAGGTTTATTTTATTTAGACTTCTAGAGCTGCTGCAGTTTTTCGAGGTTGACGCAGAAGATGCTACAGCACGATGCTGCAACACAGTATGCGGGATCAGAGGTCTGAGCACGGGATTTTAAGCTGCAATCTGAATTAGAGACCTATTGGGATTGTGATTACATGATAATAACTCCAGCTGTACATGCTAAGGAATCCCAACTCTTTAGGCTACTTGTGGATCAAGATTAAGGAAGTAGAGTTCAAGCCAACTTCTACTATCCTATTCCTACTAGGATTGTGTTAAGAGGAGTCTATAAAAACGCAGCTGGTCCCTGGGAATTACTTGGAGTGATTGAGAGGGAAAACAAAGAATATACGCTGATGTAGAGCGTTCCTGTCGCGTCCCGGAGCTTCCCATGCGTGAAGAAGGTCATGATCTACATGAAGGAGGAGATCTTCAATGCCAAACAGATCGTGACGTCCAGGAGATGAACCAGAGCTTAAGGAGAGGGCTGCCAACACGTTTATCCTCGTGATCTCGGTGGAGATGTGATAGCCGAAGCGGATCTGAACAGAGTTCGGGTTAGAAATCCTAGATTAAAAGTTTTGTCATAGCAATTCGGAGAAGGGTGTCTCATCATGTTGTTATGTACCGGTGTAACTTGCATCTAGTGATTTAGTGGAGGGCTATTACACGGACATGGGCCCCGCAGAGTAGGAGAATTTGCTCCGAACTGCGTAAACATATCTGGTGTTATTTTTTACGCTTTATACAGTTACAGCATTCTACCCAGTAGGCGCTGTAACGCTCTCAGCATCATCTGCTTCTGTGTGCGTGCTTGTGACAGAGAAGTGTTATAGCACACTGTCCGTCATCACGTACTGTGACAGTGCTGCAGCGACTTCTCTGCAGCATAGTGGATCGTTTGTTTGCATAGCTCTTAATTGGTGATTTCCGCTACGCCCCCACAAACTTTCAGCTGCCATCTCAGTACCAATACCTTGAATTCTAGTGAAGGTATTTTGCCTCTCAACTGGTTGAATTAGACTGTATTACTGTAAGCTTTACTCACGGAAGGAAGGGGATCCAATATTGGTATTTGTCCTCTCGCTATGTCAAAACCTTCGTTGAGCTAGGCCGATAAAAATTTTAACTAGTCTTCGTCTTTGTTCAGCTTCCATAGTTTTCTTCTTGGCATCACAAGTGCAGCCATTGCAAGTATGCAAAGAATGATCAATGAGTTGTTCAACTCATCCCAAAGTTTATTCAATTTTGTGAAATAAGTCCCAAGAGGAAAGTTGATAGTAATGGGTCATTTTTTCTTCTCACGAACTAATGAGCAAATAGGAAGAGAAAGTATTCTCCAAGTCTAAGAAAATACAAACCAAAATATTGGAGCATAATTAAGCCCCGACTTTGTTTATGACATGACATAACCTTACAATTGGGCAGCTTAAATATCAATATCAATTTTCGAGAACTGGAAGCAAACACTCATCTATAGGTGCCTTTTATGGTTTCTCCCAAATCTTATATATCCTTCTAACACCAATGCAAGTGGACAATTATTCTCTATTTGCTTAAGTCGCATATATAATATTAGCCAAATACAAAGTATTATTATGGATTATTGTCTTTCTTACATCTCATTAAAAAATTTGTAACTAATTTAAGGTCCATGACCCTTAAAAAGATAGCTACAACATTAGAGGAAGGGCTCGACCAAGATCTGATTATATTTAAAGCCCCTTTTTGTACTAGGACCAAGCTTTAGTTAAAAAAGGATATAGCCATCCCTTAAGTCTTCAAGTCCTTAAGATAAGGAGAAACAAGGGTCCTTGTTTTACCACAATTTATTTGGTGTGAATCCATTTTAGTACATAGGTCACAACCCCTAGGTGTAATTGTTATGCTGGTGCGTTTATTTTGTTTAACACCCTTTTTATTAGGAATTGAAGAATGAAAAAGCTAGAAATAAAACATTTTTATAATACAAAGTATTAAAATATGACTTTCAATATTTTTATACGAAAATAAAACTTAAAATGCCAAAAATCATCAATATATAATGTCAAAAGAAAACACTATGAAACACCAACATACAATGTCAAGTTGGGCGTTGCACCATATCAATGCTCTTATTTAGGAGTTAAAACACGGATGATCCTATTTTAATATTACCTACATCCCGTAAAAGTTTTTTACTTTTAAAAAGTAAGATTTAAGAAATGTGTATTTTTTGTTTTACTTTCTAATTTTGTCCTTATTTCATTATAGGGTAGGATATGATGTGATGAGTAAATTAATAGTGAATGTGACATGTAGGTTAATAATAAGTAGGAGTAAAAGGGAAATTTTAATTAAAAGTGAAAATATTGTTTTTTATGGATGAATTGAAATGTGAAAATGAAATAAGTTTTTGGGATAGAGGGAGTATACGTTTAATGTTTGTATATATTTAGGTTAATTTCTTTTTTCAATTTTTGTTAGCAGGGTCCATGCAGAGCATTACTGGCAGATCTTTCAGGTGACAGTGCCGAAAAAATGCGAGTGGCCAATGCACTCTTTTCATTTTTCTCGGCTATCGGAAGCGTCCTCGGTTACGCTGCCGGCTCCTACTCTAGCCTCCACAAAATATTCCCCTTCACAAAGACCAAAGCATGCGATATTTACTGCGCCAACCTCAAGAGTTGTTTCTTCATCTCCATATCCCTCCTCCTCGTCGTGACCGCCATAGCACTCATTTGCATTAAAGAGCATGTCATGGAAAAAGACATAAGAAAAGAATCTAAAAAGACAAAGGTTCCCTTCTTTGGGGACCTCTTTTTGGCCTTGAAGGACCTCCCTAGGGCTATGTGGCTACTTTTATTGGTGTGTGCCCTAAACTCTGTCGCGTGGTTCCCATTCTTGTTGTACGACACAGATTGGATGGCAAAAGAGGTGTACGGCGGAAAAGTTGGGAACATATTGTACAACAAAGGTGTACACGCTGGCGCATTGGGTCTCATGCTCAATTCGGTTGTTGCGGGTGTGATCTCCATTATGTTAGAACTCATGGCACGACAGCTGGGTGGAGTTAAGAAGCTCTGGGCTGGGAGTAACCTTATATTAGCCACTTGCTTGGCCATGACAGTTTTAGTCACTAAAATGGCTCTGCGTAGTCGTCGATACAACCCAAATGGCGACATTCTTCCACCACCTGCTGGTGTCAAAGCCGGTGCCTTCCTTATATTTTCTACCCTCGGGATTCCTTCTGCGGTAAGTCTTTCATTCATCAACTTTTTCAATTAGAGGTATGTAGAATTTTAAGAAATAATATTCTAATTATTTCATTCTATAAACATTGAATATATACAAACATAAATGGGCTCATGGGCCAAAGTAAACAAGACTATACACTTTACATAGTAATTACAAAATATACTCATATACTCCTCAATTCCCCAAGTTAGCGCATGAATGTCATAAATGCCCAATTTGGACAATAGAAATTAGAGAAGTGGGCCTAGTAGTGCCTTCGTGAAAATATCAATAGTTTGGAGACATGTAGAAACATATGTCGTGACCACGTGTTGGCAAAGATGACACTCATGAATAATGTGATAATCAATATCAATATACTTGAAATTCTCATGAAGCACAAAATTTGCAACAATAAATAGAGCAGACTTACTGTCATAGTAAAAATTTGGGATGGAGCCATAGGGAAAAAATTATGCAGCAAGTAGGCCACAGGTATGGAAATAAAAGAGCGAATAAAGACATTGTGATTTTTATACTTGTTCACCATAACTTGTGGTTACATCAGTCCTCGAGAGAACCTCTTGAGATTCCACTACCTTCTTTAGGCTTACAGGTGACCAACAAGGCGTTTATACTTGCTCATAGATGCACGCGCTATAACAATTCAACCACTCAGACTCATTGCCCAAGACTTCACTCACTAAGATTACAAGTTCGATCTCCCATATCTTTTTTTGTAAAACTTAGAATATAATAGAGGAAGCCTTTTGTTTCTTCTACTTGCCTCAAATCAATTCCAAATATAAAAATGTCATCCACATATAAGTAAATTATGACACTATTACCTTTGCATTAAATTTGCTATATACACACTTATCTGATTGGTTTATCCCGAATCCATTAGTCAAAATCACTTCATCAAACCTTTCATGCCATTGTGTAGGTGCTTGTTTAGAGTGATACAAGGATTTAGCAAGCTTGAAAATCTTCCTTTCTTGACCTCTAACAACAAGCTGCTCGGGTCATTTCATATACAACTCTCATGGGCAAGATAAACTTATTTTCTTCATAACTAAGATTAATACAAAGCTATATAGGACACCACCAGAAACAGGATTCTTCCAGGTTTGTGGTACAAAGTGTACATCATTTAGTACCACTTTATTTTCAGAAGTTAAATTTAACTCTACTTGGCCAATTCCTTAGATTTCAACAGAAGAATCATTTCCCATCTATAAGATTTGCCCATACTCTGATTCTTTATATGTATTGAAAGAATGCCTATCTTTACATACATGCCTAGTGGCTCTGGTGTTGACCCAACAATATTAATCTTCTTGTACAACACAAACCTTAGAGATCGTAGCCACAAAGAGCATGTCATTGTCAACATCATTTGTACGATAAATATATTTTGACCTTGGTTCTCTTGGCCAGCATTGGGATGGCCACTTTCTTCCACTTTCTTCTTTTTTAGTTTTCGGCAGTCCTTTTAATGTGCGAAACACAACAACCCCAACAAGAGTCTTCCTTAGTTGTTTTAGGCTTCTTCTTGAACTATGTGGAAAACTTTCTTGGAAGCTTTTTATTTTTCTTTGTAGAACTTTGTTTTCCCTCCTCCATGACATTTATCAAGGAAGTTCAAAGATCATTCTTTTGGGCATTTTGTCCTTCAAGCTTCTTGACTCCATCTTCAACTTGAATTCAGGGACCAAGTTGCTCCAGTGACAGTACCACCTTTTCATATTTGAGATTATCTCGAACATCTTTCCATGATGGGGGATTTTTTTATGGAACCGAACACAAAGGATTCACTCACATTCATGTTGTAAATGTGAGTTGGTCATATAAATGCCGAACCTCATGAAATTGTTTCATGATTGGTCTCACATCCACTATTTTGTAACTATTCAAGGTACTTATTTTGGAATTTTTACTTGAGGTATCTTTGGTCTTATATTTTTGGGGGGTGTATTCAATTAGGAATCTGTTGGATTTTTTTGGATTTTAAAAATCAGCAGGTATTCAATTAGGATTTTGGAAAATCATTTAAAATATAGAAGTATTCAATTAAAATTTTGAAAACTCTTACTAAATCTAATGGTATTAAAAATTGATAGATTCTCAAAGATTGTCATAAAATATGAATTGTGATGGATTTTAGAGCTTGAGTATAAATAAAAATCTTGTTTGTAAATCCAATCAATAGCACCGAGATTTTGTCTGACTCTCTCTTTCTTCTTTTCTACCGTTGTCTTTTTTTATCTGTTTCTTCTCTGTTCTTCATCATCCTTTCTCTTTTTCTGTTGTGTTTCTTCTTCGTTTCCTCCCGCTGGCTCGTCAGATCTAACAGAGGCGAAGGAGGTTGAATTGAAAGTATTATTCAGCGGAAGAAAGAAGAAGAAGAAAGGCAGATGGAAACCTACCGGCGAACTGAGAGTATCAGACGAAAACCTACCTGCGACCGAACAAAATTTCTCATCGGAAGAAAGAAGAAGAAGAAGAGAGTCAGTGGTGGTGAATCTGGGTGGCGACGATGGTGGCGGAGGCGGCGTGGGATCGGAGCTGAGCCAGAAAATGAAAGAAAGAAGAAGAATAAAAAAAGAAGAGGTAGCGGCGCAGCGGCTAGGGTTTGTGGGGGAAGAAGGGAAAAAGAAAAGAAAAAGAAAAAAGAAAAAGAAAAAGAAAAAGGAAAAATAAAAAAGAAAAGGAAATCTAGGGTCCGTGGGGGGAAATGGAAAAAGAAAGGAAAAAGAAAAAAGAAAAAGGAAAAACATGAAAAAAAATGTTCAAAGATAAAAGAAAAAAAAGAAAACATGTTTATGTATATTTAGATAAATTTACCTAAATAGGACTAAAACATAATAACTTTTTCCATATAGGACCATATGATTTTATTTCCCAATGTAGGACCTTTGGTCATTATCAAGTAGTCATTATTCAACTAAATGTCCATCATTGCTGGACATTATTCCTTCCACTAGGTCATTATTAAGTCCTATTTATGGAATAAAAAAGTTTAAGTCCTACATTAGAAAAGTCATTATGTTTTAGTCCTATTTAGTACAAATTTCACATATTATAATTCATTGATTACAAATAATCTCTTAGAATCATAAAAAATCCTTCAAAAAAATACATTAAAATCTATCTAACTCTATGTAGACTTAAATAATCCATTGAGTTTATAGAATCCATGAATTCTAAATAATCTATCAGAATCTATTAAAATCTGGATTGAATACACCCCTCTTAATTCTTTAGAATCCCAACCTTTTTTTGTATATTCATTATTTTTATAAATGTGAAATAAGGTGTCTGATATGCCACTCAAGATGTGGCCGCGACATATGTAGTCATTGTTGTCCCATTTGACCCGACGACGTTTGGTTCGCAATGACTTGTTGTCTTCTTTGTTCTTTTCTACTTTCGAATGCCTCGGGGGGCTCAATAATAAAACCACGTTCAATGTGATTAATATAAAATGCATCCTTTTCTTCCATCTTCAGAAAGCCACACCTTCAAACTGTTCCAATTTTTGGAAATGGAATTGGCGTTGATATATCTCGTTGCGAAGTAGCCATTTCAATGCATAAGTAAACTTTTAGATTGTTAGAGCAGGAATATATTATTGATAGAAAGTAAGGATGAAAATGGCAAAGATGAACACTTGCTAGTCACTTGAATTTTCATGCTTTCCTAAAAGTTTAATATCTACCATTATTATAGTAACCATGTTACAAGATAGAACTTTTAATTTGGGATAAAAAAAGAGGTGTATGGTACATTTTGATTACTAACAGAATAACACGGTTAAGTGATTTGCGTACAAAGAAGTCTAAATATTTTCCTACTATCATTGTAGATAATAATATAAAAATAGGCAATCAAGAGGGATAAGAGATTATCGTCAACCTCACACTCTTTTAAAAATAAATATGGCTATTTATAGCAAAATATAACGCCACCTTTTGCTCAAAAGTTACGACTATAAACTCTAACTAAAGGATGTTATTTTCCTTCCAAAACATTGTGATAACTGGCTGATAATTAATAACTATCAAACCCATGCACTCTTTTGCACTAATTCGTACAAGGGCTTTTATTAGCATGTTTTTTATTTGGAATACAAACGGAAAGAGTTTTTTTTTTGGAAAGATCACGTATCCACCCATTTCAAATCATGCATACTTACAATACATTAATGATACAATTATATAATATTTGGTCTTATTGAATAATGAAGGTTTCATCTCTACATATAGGGAATACATAGAGAATCGTAATTAGAGTAGAATAAATAATTATGATAATAATAAAATAGGAATGTAAAATAATAATAAGAATAATGATAATAATAATAATAATAATAATTTATTTCCTATTATCTCTAGTATTCTTAATATCACCTGCAAACTGATTATTGGTAAAGAGAAGATGCTTGAACCATAGGTACTAGAATGAAGTCGGCAAAAAAAGTTTCAAGATAGCCTCTAAAAGTATAGAGGTAGATCTTCGTTGCATGATGAACAAGCTTGAGAGTATATTTGCTAAGTTATTTTCAATGGGAGAGTGTTGGCGATTATAGCGAGGGCTTGAAGTTTCTTTTTAATCCTTGTGAGCCATTCTCCATTTCTCTCTCATTTTCCATGCCCTCGAACTCCTAAAAGACAGAGACAAAGGGAGCTTTTCAATTCTTTGATCACACCGCACAAAATATTTTTGGGATAGAGAGGGAAAGAGATATGAATTTTTTAGAGTAGAATAAATAATTTCCATCCATATGTATAGGGAATGCATAAAGAATCATAATTAGAGTAGAATAAATAATTATGGTAACAATAAAATACAAAAGTGAATAATAATGACGTTTTGTTTTCTATTATACCTATTATTCCTAATAATTAACCATATTATTTTAATCTAATAATTATTTTCAAAATAATTATACTCATCTCTTTATATTATTCAAATATAGCTCCACAACTCCCAATTAAAATTATATTAGTGAAGAACATGTTGAACTCTTGAGCCATATTCTCCAATATATTTCCAACATATGATACAAATCAAGCAAAAGTACTTGTATAGTAAAACACATCCTATCTATATTGTGTATAGTCCAACCTTTTATATGTTCTCCAAATATGTTTATCTTCTCATTTAATCTGACTATACAACATTTAATGATTTTATGGTACTACGTATAATTAAAGTACTAAAAATAAAAATAAAAATTTAAATAAAAACTCTAATATAAAGTACTCGTAATTTTTTGAATAGAATCATATTTAAGTTTTACATAAATGCTAAAGTCACACAAAAACATCACAAAATTTACAAATTTGCCATTTATGAATTTAACTTTTCACTTTTTAAATTATTTAAGATAATTTGTTCTTTTAGTGGGACTCCATAATAACAAGTTTGTTTATTTTTTGACTTTATTGTTTGTGATTTTAATATTTCCCTAGTTTTTATTCCATTTTTGAAGATTATTATTAATGAATGGCTTTGAAATTTTATGGTTAGGCTACTTTAACCATTCCATACGCTCTGGTGTCCATCTTTACGAATAAGGCGGGTGCTGGACAAGGTTAAAATATCTATTAACTCTCCATATGCCCATCCTTACCTTGTACATTCTCTAACATTGACTGTAAGTTTTAATATCAAGTTTAATTTATAATATGTTCTGCAGGATTGTCTGTAGGGATCCTCAATCTTTCATTTGTAATCCCACAGGTATAGCTATACTTCTTTCATAACTTCAGATATCGACATTATTATTGTAAGAAAAATAATTATTGTTCTCTTTTATTTGTTGTCATATGTGTATGTACCATATTTACCGGTAATCTCATAACTTGTCATGTATTCTTAGTCTTAGTTAGATTTCCAGCCATGTATATTCGTATGGAACAAAGTTCGTAGATAAAAATCGTGTAGAGGTGGAAATCTTTTATTAGGAAGAAGAATCTAACCATCATCAGGTCTTGACTTTTGAAAGGCTTTTCGACTCGCAGATGGGTAAGAATATGTCAAAACATTAGAGCGATTGGAAGGGTTAAGGATTGAGGACTCAACTCAGCCGCTCAACCTCCTAGCGTAATGTCAAGGAGAGCAAACTAACCCAACCGAGGGCACCACTCGCTTGAACGCTCGACTTGAAAGAATGGTAGAGAAGTCCTTCTGCCCCTCACCCATGAGAATAAAGAGAAAGATCAAGATTCAAGGAGTGGTCAAACTTCAAAAGACGGTGGAGGAACGTTTGAAGATCAGGTTAGAGAGGCCTCCTACAAAAAGTTAGTGTGGAGGATGGTTACCCATTCATACACCAGATTAAGCCCTACCTCCTTATGAAAAACTTGCAGCTACCTGTAGATGAATGAGTGAAACATCGCGACCAACTCTCAGTATCATCTCTCTTTCTTCCACGTGACAATGATCATGTTTGGCACACCCCGGGAGATTAGATTTATTGTTTCCTTGTTACACTATAAGGGCAAGTAAAGAATGGTTAATCAAGCTCCCCAAGGGCTCCATCGATGAATGTGACGAATTTTTGAAGAGCGTTTAGGACCATTTTTCTACAAGTCATTGTCAAAATGTCCCCTACTCCAACCTATTTGGTATCAAGCTTTTCAATAGATAGAAACAGGACTTCATGTCTAGCGGAGACAAAGATGCCACCATCATCCTCAGAGGAAATGACTACGCCCTCATTGCTATGCTCTAGACATGCCTACCACAAGATGATATTCGTGAGCCGCTCTTGACAAACCCACTAGCAACCTACAAGGAGGCGATTGTGTGTGCTACATTGAAAGCCTTCAAAGAAGCAGAGTGATTTTGCAAGAACATGTGAGATCGAGCAAGATGACTCTCACCCTTTTGGAGAGTCTAGAGAGAAGAAGAAATGAAGACTTCATGTCAAGGTCATAGTCTTTTGGTTTGGGAACTTCCATAAGATATGTGTCTTGTCATCACGGTTTGTGATCCCTTCTTCATACCCAAAACAAAAATATGTGGGATATTCTAAAAACCTGGATTGATTACCTCATCAATCAAGGCATATACCTTATGGAAATTATGTTATATATTCAATAGGTGCCTCAAGGAACTCCAAAAATTAGAGAGAACCTATTGAGCTGGTCATCGTAACTCACGAGGGAGGATAGACCCCAAAGAAGAGGAACCTAGATTGTGAGTGCGATGAGTTAGACTACAACAAGTGTCATTATAGGAGGCACTATGCAGACAACTTCTTACACACAGAGACCATCACTTGAGACCTTGTCACTACCCAAAAGTAGTGAGAGAGGCAAGTTTACGTGGCAAAGATTTAAATTCCCACACCAAGAAGTCAAAGAGGGAACTCATTTTCTTCACTTATGATGAACTCTGTGATTGCCCATTCTCTAACATGATACCCAACTTATCAAGATGTAGATTAATAATATCATCGTTCACCTAATGTGGGTTTACAATGGTAGCTAAGTGAACATTATTTACTTAGAAACCTTCAAGGTGTTGGGTCTCTTCAAAAATGACCTAAGGTTGGTCAAGACCACTTCTTTGAATTCAAATGGATTTGATCAAAGTTGAAGGGTTGATAACTACTTTGGTTGAGAAGTTGATGCAATGTTGAGCATAATGCCCACCTCAATATAGAGTTTATTGTTTTGTTTCTCGCTTGCACACTCCTTCTAGTGCTTGGGTCTTAGCCTTGAATACGGGGAATGTGTCATCTCCCCTTAATAGATATAATCACATTCCAAACACCCATCATGGTTGGAATAGCTTGGGGCAATCAGCTACTCTTCGCTCATGCTATGTCCTGAAAATTAAGTAGATGGTGCAAGATTGGATCTTGGTTAACACCATTCCAACGATGGTATGGAATGAGGAGTCATGATCAAAGTTAGAATTACAACATGAAGTCAATGAGGTCTCCTTTGGTTGACTTAGAGAGAGAGAGAGAGGAACCAATAAAAGACAATGTTACCCAGCGCTTGAGGTTCTGCCTCGTTTGAGTCATAACAATGTTTATCATAATTTTCACATGGGTACCAAAAGACATTCCCGAGGTCAACTCGAATATCATATGCGATATGCTCTCCATAGACTCCACGTCTATGTTATTTTGCAAAAGGGCGTACTTCCTTTCCTCAAAACGGACAAACTTATTTCCCAAGAAGTTGGAAACCTCGTAAGGTGTTAGCCTAATACAAGAGGTTTTCGATGTAACATGGTCTAAAATTTTTGTCCTAGCACTTAAGAGATCTATGTGGAGAGTGTGTGTCAACTACACCAACCTCATTAAAGCTTGTCCCACAAATCCTTTTTTCTTTCCAAAGGTTGACTAATTAATGGACAAGGCGGTTGGGTGAAAATTTATGATTTTCATGGTTGCCTTTAACGAGTACTGAAAGAATTAATTGGGAGAAAATTCTCTTGTATTTCTTATGTTTACAATTTACAAAGAAGGCATATATATAGGTTCTCACAAGTCCAGAATCCTAATAAGCAAAAGGAAAAGAAATCCCTATACAAGGAAACTACCAAGAATAATATATACGAAAATATCTCCAAATATTCCCAAATATTCTCTTTTCTTTCACACCTCCTCCCAAGTTGGAGCATGTAACAAAGAAATGCCCAACTTGGGAATAAGGAACTCCAGTCGTGACTTCCCAAGTGCCTTCGTGTGAATATCTGCAAGCTAATGCGTAGTGGGCACATGAAAGGCACGAATCTCTCCACGTAGAAGCTCATCACGCACGAAGTGACAATCAATCTCAATATGCTTCGTACGTTCGTGAAAAACCGGATTAGCAGCGATGTGAAGTGCTGTCGTACTATCGCAACGTATGGTCATAGGGTCCGTATGCTCAACCCCTAGACACTGCAACACATTCTTCAACCATTTCAACTCACATGTGATGGTAGCTAGAGCTCTATATTCGGCCTCAGGAGACGAGCGAGCAACTGTTGTCTGCTTCTTGGTTTTCCACGATACAGATGAATCTTTAAGCTGCACAAACCATCATGTCAGAGAGCGCCGGGTTAATGGACATGCTGCCCAATCTGAATCACACCATCTTGTGAGCTGAAGACTACTCTCTGCCGATAGAAAAATGTCCTGACCTGGACACCCCTTCAAATAACGAACCACCCCAAGAGCTGGAGACGAATGATCCTCCCTGGGTTCTTTCAAAAATTGTGCTAACGTATGGACTACATAAGAAAGCTCCGGCCGTGTAACAAATAGATAGACTAATCACCCTACAAGATGGCGATATGGTTCTGGATCTGTCAGAACAAGAGCTTGGGAATGAGCCAAATGATGATTCAGCTCCATGGGTGCACCCAATGGCCTGACACCTAACAATCCTGCCTCAGTAATAATATCTAAAGCGTACTTCCGTTGGCTGGGAAAAATCCTAGATGTGCTCCTCGCCACCTCAATGCCAAGAAAATATTTCAGTGTTTTCAAGTCCTTCATATGAAAACAATCTGCAAGATATGCTTTGAACTTGCTCACCATCTTAGTATTATCTCCAGAAATAATCAAATCATCAACATAAACCAAAACATATATTACTCCTTTCTTTCCAACGAAAGAAAATAAGGAGTAATCGGAAATAGACTGCACAAAGCCATATCGTCTCAATGCTCCAGACAGTTTTGCAAACCAACATCTTGGAGCCTGTTTCAAGCCATATAGAGACTTCTTGAGTTTGCACACAACATTAGACGAATTCGAGAAACCAGGTGGCAATCTCATATACACCTCATCCTGAAGATCTCCATGTAGGAATGCATTGTGAACATCCATCTGATGCAATTCCAACCCCTTAACCGCTGCAACGGCTAAAAGTGTTCTCACAGTGGTCAACTTGACTACAAGAGCAGATGTTTCTTTGTAGTCAAGTCCTTCAACCTGATGATTGCCAAGTATAACCAGTCTGGCCTTATATCTTTCCACACTTTCATCAGACTTGCGCTTGATTTTATACACCAATTTGCAAACAAGAGGCTTTTTATGACGCGGAGGAGAGACAAGAGATCACGTCCCATTAGCCTCCAATGCATCAATCTCCTCTCGCATAGCCTTCCTCAATCGTTCATCCTGGAATGCCTTCTTGAAACTTGTGGGCTCCACTTCAGCATCAAGTGCGCTGAGAAAACACTTATGTTTGTCAGAGAACTTCTCGTGGGTGACATACGAGGAGAGAGGATATTTGCATTTTTCACCAACATATGAACCAGCTACATAGGTTACATAATTGGCAAGGCGCACATTTGGACGTTTCTCACGCTGACCACATCCCAAGTTCTCAACCGCCTGCTGGGAAGAGGACGGTCAACCGCCGTCCGTGGAACGGTCCACGGGGTCGACCGTCTGAAGCGGTTCTGGATCACTGACTTTCTGCCTCGGAGACGGTCGACCGTCTTCCACATCACGTTCGACCGTTTGATCATCTCCCAAAGGACCGTCATTCTGCCTCTCGAACGGTCGACCATGGATATCGGGACGGTCCACCACGTCGACCGTTTGTAGCTTGTCTACTTCATTATTCTCCTCTGGTCGACCGTTCCTCATGGAACGATCCAGCTGCTCTTCCGCGGGTGTTTCTTTTCGGGTTCGAATATCTCTTCCATCCTCTTTTCGATATCGAATATCTCTTCCTAGAGACCTTCAAATCAAAAATTGACCATTGGAAATCAAGTTCAATGTGTTGCGAACATGCTCCTAAATTTCAGAACAATAAGACACCGTTTGACCCTGTCAACGTCAGTTCAAAGAACGCTGCACGCAGAAATCCAAAAATGAAATAGCTTTCTTCTCTCTCAATTTTTTTGCTCTGCTCTCTCTTGTTTTTCTCTCTGTCAATCAACCCAAATGAACTCCTACTGCTTTCTTCATTAAACCATGGACTTGTTTAGTGTTGGGCTTTACTTGGGCCTCCACATAAGAAGTGAGCCCAAAACCAAAAACACTTAAGGTTCCTCGATGTTGTTAATTAACATCATGTTTGCTTCAAGGATTTTGAAAACGTAAAGAAAGGAAAATGAGATGAAAAATTAATTTTCTTGTTTGGTTGGAGAGGAAAAGAAAAGAAAAGGAGAAGGAAAAGATAACAAGAAGGCAAAAAGTACTAAGAGGAGGAAAAACCAAATCCTCCCATTTTTGGTGAGGAAAATGAGAGAAAATCATTTTCTTTTCTTTTTTCTCCCAAATTTTCCTTGGACCAAGCAAAGTGTAAAGGATTTAAGGTGAGGAAAGTCATGCACAATTCAAATTTGGTATAAATCAAGGATCACTCGAGTACTCATTCGATCCCTCTATTTAAAAAGGCGGTCCGCACTCTCCAAGCTAAGACTATATTACTCATGAGTCATGACCCATCATGCAGATTGTTTGATGTAGTTTTATAAATGCTTAGATGTACGGAGTAGTTTTTATATATTTAATTTAATTTATTTTATTTCTATACAAATTTTAAAATAAATTAAATAAAATGTAATTGGAAATTACATTTGAAAATGTTGAATGAACAATGGTTGATGGTATTAAAAATGCCTAGAGTAGTAGTTGGGAAATGCTTAAAGGGCATCTCAAACCACCAAAGAGAAAGTTGTTGCCGATCAGTTTATGGTTTTGAAGCAAAAGTGTCAAATTTTAGAGGCTCTTTGGCAACTCCTGAATCGGTAAGTGCTGAAGCAGTAAGAGGTCTGAACCATTAAGAGCTAGTATATTGCTTAACTATTCAGAAGCAAATGTCTGATCAATTCAGATAAGAGGTCTTAACCATTCAGATTCTGTATAATACTTAACCATTCAGAGGCAAATCTCTTAACCATTCAGACATCTGAACCATTAAGAGGCTGAAACAAACAGTCTGAACCATTAAGTGCTGAACCATTCAGACATCTAAACCATTAAGAGGCTTAAACAAACAGCCCCTTAATCATACGATCTTTGCGTTTAATTATTACAAACAAGTTTTCATTTTAAGAATTTAAAGCATTCACTTTACTAATCTACGTACCTCAAAAATTGGTTAGATGTTGGTTTCGTTCATGAGTGGACCTTGGGACGCTTTGTTCGGCGGTGGGAATTTGCCTGCGTTTCTAGTAGGAGCAGTGTCAGCCGCCACAAGTGGGATACTTATTATTACATTGCTTCCTTCTCCCTCTCCTGATGACAAATAAGAACTATAACAATATATATGGTTATATTATAACTTTTATAACTTTTATATAAATATAAATATATATTGTGTGTACTCGATCTATCTCTTTTACATGATTGTTTCGATATTCTTTTAATATGGTGTCTTGTATTATGTAACTAAGTAAATGTTATACTTCCTGTGTCCCCTGAAGATGTTCTCATTTTGACTTTTGGTGGTTTTTAAGGAGAGTTGAAAAAAAGTGAAAGTTTACCATAATACCCTCAATGAAAATGGGTGAAGTGTATTAAATAAGGTGGGTGAGGTGTAATAAATAAAGTAAGTGGAGGTAATTGTGGTATTTTAATTGTTAAAAAATAAAATGAGAAGATCTATTATGAATAAAGAAAAAGGGTTACTGAGAAGATTTATGAGGGATGGAGAGAATAGTTAATTTGGTCATTTTATGAATCATATTTTTTGAGTAACAGTTACACGTACGTAAGTTGTTAATTACGAAGCTTGTTGGAATTACATCACACCTTACATCAGTATTCTTGATCTACGTGTATGTGAACATGGGTTAATAAAAGTCAAATTTGTACTAATAAATAGAACTAAAATACATGTCATTTTCAAATATAGTATTTAAACTTTTTTATTTCTTAAATAATACTTGAATAATATCCAATGATGGAATAATGTATAATGATAGTTGACATTTAGTTGGAACAATGTGTAATGGCGGTGGACATTTAATTGAACAATGACCAGTGGTACTATATTGGGAAATAAAAATATATGGTATTATATTAGAAAACTCACCATCTTTTTTAACTATTTAGATAAATTCCCCTAAATAATATAAAGGTGGTATTTCTACTCTAAATATAAAGCAAAAGTTATTACTGGTATTATTTTCAATGAGTTGTGTGAGTTAATTATTTACAAAGTGGATAAATCATTATATTTCCATACTACTCCCTCCGTCCCAAAAAGATTTACACGTTTCAAAAAAATTGTGTCCCACAATCCCTTACCCATTTCTATTAAAAAATCACTTTTACCCTTACTTTTTCAAACCCTACCTATCACATCATACCTTTTTCCTAATAATCTACACATCACATCCTACTTTTACCCATCACATCAAGGGTATTTTTGGAAAGTCAATACAAAATTATCCCTCCCTTAATTTCAACTTTAGTCAAAATGGGTAACACTTTATGGGACGGAGGGAGTAGAAGGTTGCAGCCTTGCAGGTAGAGGTGGCAATTGGATTAATTGGATCGATTCTGGTTTGGAATAATTCAGTTTGGATATCTTTCGAATATATGCTGTAATCGTTCAGTTCAGATAAGTTCGGTTTAATTTCGATTCAATTTAATTTCAATTTCTTAAATTTTTCAGTTCCAGTTTGGTTTCGGGCCAGTTCAGATTCTATTCAGATGTCAATCGGTTCAAGTCGATTTCAGTTTCAGATACATTCTGGTTCAGATATATTTCGATTTGAATATATTTTGATTCCTGTGTATTTTGGTTTTGGATATATTTTCATATATTTTATTTTTGAATTAAAATTTAATTATTTGTTCATTTTTTGTCATATCGCATTTATCAATCTATCATCAATTCATCACTTCATATTATTTTATACTTCCTTTGTCCTACATATCTTCTATTTTTATCTTTTTAGTGATCTTTTATAAATTTGTAATACGAATTATGAGAGAAAAATATATTTAATTGTGATATAAAACTAATATAATTGGATTACCAAATCGCACACAATTTGGTTAAAATATGTTAAAATATAGTGAAATTGAATGCAATTAGATAAAATTTGAATGAAATTAAATGCAATTCACAGCACATGTTTGGCCAACCATACAATATTGCATGAGTGAGGCTGAATTTTTTTTTTACCTGTGCTTTAGTTTGTATGAATTTTAACTAACATTTTTTATGTAAGTTATAATGTTTATTTTTATACAAATTTATAAAAAAAATTAAAACATATGAAATTTTACATGTTGTTTGAATATGGTAATTCATTTTAGACATAGGGTGAAATTTTACATTTTTTAAAATTGTGAATTAAGAGCAATTATATTAAAAAAAACTCATCAACTACTTCCTTCATCTCAAATCAAGTTACCTTTTTACTATTTACATGCCAAATCAAGTTACCTTTTTACTATTTACAGCGTCAAACTATATTCACTTTTTTTCTCTATTTTCCTTACTCATGTGATAAACAATGTAGTCATTCATCTCTTGTTTCGGAGAGCATTTAATGTAATTTTTTAATATGTAAATTTTATTTTTAAATTTCATTTCAATTTTGACATAAATTTTATTGAAAATAACTTCAGTCAAACATCGCGAACCGAAACAGACGATTTAAATTGAGATGGAGGGAGTATTAGACTATGCTCACTTGCATAGGCTAAAAAACTGGGCATCTCCCTTGTTTAAAGTTATAATTATATTCACAATCCGAGATCTATTCATTGTTGGAAAAAGACATAAATAGAAGTAAAACATGAAGAAAGAATCAAAATAGGACTTCAATAATTTTAACCCCCAAATATGACTAAAATTAATTGCGGAGTAAATTTTAAACCAACCAATCTAAGCCCCACGTAACTTACTCTCAAACACCTCTACCTACGCTGCCATCGCCAGGACCACCTGCCGCCATCACTGTGGCCCACTGCCACCGCATCTCTATTAATTATTGCATGCCACTGTAAGTTTAATCTCCGCCGCCGCTAGCCTACTCCGCCCCCACTATGATGATGTGCTCGCCGTGCCGAAATCCACCATTTTTGTTGTTCATTTTTCACCAATTCACTGGCGGATCCACCTTGTAGATATGGGGGGCAATGGCCCCCAGTCATGTGTTAAAAATTTTACACTACCAAGTATAAGATGAAAATAAAAAGGAGAATGCTAAAGAGGCACCACGTGTGCCTCCAAGCCTGCCACCCAATATATTTATTTTTTTTTTCAATTTCCCTTTTTTCTTAGTCTTTTCATCTCCTCTCTTCTTCCCCAAAATCCCCCCTTTTCATCTCCATTTTTTCGGCAACTCCAATTCGTCGGCATAGCAGGAATTGCAGTGCCAGACAACTCCAATTCGGACAACTCCAGCGCCGGCAGCCCCACCCCTACAGCTCCAGCGCTGGCAATCCCACCCCTCCAGCTCCAGCGCTGGCAGCCCCACCCCTCCAGCAGCGCCGGCAGCCCCACCCCTCCAGCAGCGCCGGCAGCCCCACCCCTCCAAACAGGTACTGACGCTAACTTTCCTTTCCTTGGTCTCTTTCTTTATCTCTCTCTATTTCTAAAATTGATATAAACCCTAGGGGGTTCGGATCTTGAATTTTATTCTACATTGGAATTTTAGCATCTTTAGTAAATACTCCATAGTAATTAATAATTTTCGGACAGTTTCGAAGCATCAAAGACCATATGCCCTAATTATGGTTTAAAAAGTAATAATCATGGGCCGTTCAAGGATCCAGTTTATGATATACTCAAGATTTACTTCTTTTTTAAAAAAAAATTGATTTCTTCAAAACTTAGCAGAAGAAAGCAACCAGGGGAACCAAGTTCGCAGACGATTAAGATCTGTCATTTGAACTTCATATAACATTATTGTCTGTGAAAGATGTCTACTTGTTATTTTTGCTTACTTTCTGTGAATTGTATGTCATAGACGATTAACTTCTGTTTATTGAACTTCATATATGATTATTTTTTGTGTAGATATTTAACTTGTGTTAATTGAACTTCATTTCAGATGATGTCTTTGTTGCTGTATGGCAATTGTGGAGTGATGGTGCTACCATTAAGCACGGACTGCAGTTCTGAACACATAGTTGATTTCCGATGTCAATTTGCAGCTAGGTTATGGCGTGGAAGGAAAACAACCAATATTTAGCTTTTTTACTTTACAATTTTAAAGGTCTTTAATTTTTTGAAACTCTTTGTAATGGTTTTTGTGCTTTTGTAATGTATTTTTTGGGGAAACACTTTAGATTTTTTTGAAAGCTTTGTAATGGGGCTTTTATCATCATGAATTTCTACGTGTTAATGCACAATTTGTTAATGTGCGTGATGACTGATTTACATTAGTTTATGACTGAATTACAGATTTACTTTCAGAGATCTCACAGATAATAACTATTTATTTTACCCATTACACAGAGTTTTAATGTATGTGATGACAGAGTTACATAACATTATGTACATACACCATCTTCAGAATCTTATCACATAAGTGGGGGTCTTGTAAATGCAAAAGGAAAGTTAAAACACATACATTAGATTTCATGGTGCTCACATGGAATAACTGTCTATGTCACACACTTCACAAAGAATTAATGTATGTGAAGACAGAGTTACATTAGGACAGAGTTACATCAGGACAGAGTTACACCAAATGCAGAGTGCATACAGATTATTAGTATCTGTGACAAGGACAAACCCTAGGTTCACAGAACTTTAATCTCTGTAACATCAAAATAAAACATTTTTTGGGGTCTAAATATCAAGCCATACAATGTAAAAACACAAGCAAAACCAGTAACCAAAGTAAGGGCCAAGGCTCGTCCTTGACAATCCGATTGTTCAGTGTCCGTCCGTCAATCCCAACTGTCACCAACTCAAAACTGTCAATTAACTCAAATTAACCATGAAACTTTAAATCCACTAAATCCATCAAGTTGAGTTTTGTTTACCCTAAAAACTGAAATTAATTAAATTTCATTTACCTTAAATTCAGCCAATGGCGAAGGAAGCGGCGGATGAATAACATAATAAAAGGCATAAAAAAACAGGAAAAAAAAACTAAACGGCAAGAGAAACGTGAAAAACAGCAGATTTCAATAATTGACAAAAAAGCAGCAAAAAAACATAAAAAACAGTAGAAAAAAAACAAAAAAACCGAAAAAAGTAATAGCAAAAAATAACAGAAAAAGATAAGAAGAGGAAGATTGATATGAAGATCTGAATTTGATATAAAGAGGAAGATAAGAAAAAAAACATATTACCTTCCAAGGATAG